TGGAGTGGCTACCCAACATCGGAGCCAAACCTGAACTGGCTTGGATGGCTCGAAAGACAGGTGACCTGGAGCCGAAATGGCTTGTGGCTCCACAGAAGCCAGAACCTTTGGAAGTGAGTGCAGATTCGACTTGGTTGGAGAGCTTGCTGCAAGAGTTGGAACAAGAAACTCAAGGTGCCTTTCAAGATGCGCACAACCAAGGTTTTTACATCAATGAGTATACAACAAAGGTACACGCTCTAGGTGACAAGCTGATGCAGGGTCTGCAACGCATTGCACAGAAAATTCATGCGTCTGAAGCTGACGGCAGCGTCGAGAAACTCACGACGCGTCAACGCAACAAGGAGAGAGTCAAGATGGTGTTGAAGAAATTGGTGCACTTGATGAATTCACTGCAGGTCAAAAGTGGCTCGGAGTTGGTGTTTCCCATGTTGTTCGATCATATGTCCTTCGCTACGCATCGCTGCTGGGAGACTAATTTGAAGGTGGCGTATGCCAAAACTCTATCAGCCTGGCAAGACCATTTCAAAGGTAGTTTGAAAGCTTTACACGAAAAGGCTTCAGTGTCCCAAAGCATTGGCTTTTTACTGCCGTCGCTGCAAAGTGGAAGAGCTAAAGAATTACCAGTGGGCTGGCTCATACAACCGAAGCCGCATGATAAAAGCCTGTCTGCCAATGCTGCTGCGACCATGGAACAAGTAGAACAAGAAACTGGGGAAGACCATGCCTACATCTACATCAGTCCGGGCGGGCAACGGTTCACATCGCTGCAACAAGCCTTGCAATATGCGCAAAACGACAAGCTGCGGAATCGCATGGCTGCTGACATGAAGGCCGTTCAGATCGACAGCTTTGATCACAACTCCAACATTCATGTGCAGTTCACATCGAATCACGAAGACTACATGCACCGTGGAGAGCATCCCATCATGCAGGCAGGGTCTTGAAAGTAGTTAAGAAGTGTTAAACACCTTAAAATAAAATCATAATGTTTTGTTTGTGAATGCATGTGCAGGCACTTCCAGCGTATGTCTACAATATGTGGGTTTATGGTGCACGGAAGCAATCCAGTCGAGATCCTTTGGGAGACTATGTGATTACCTTCGACTACGATGCAGATTACAAACCATCTGCGTTAGTGAAGACACAGCGTCTTAGTTTAATTCCAAAGATCCCACAGCTGGAAGGTATGCATATTCCATCGCCAGATGTCGATCCGCATAAGATGAGTTTGATCAAGTTGCTACTCTTCAAGCCTTTGGGGCAAAGCAATGACATGGATGAAAAAGGCAATCCGCAGGACCCGTACAGGGCCATCTTTCTGGATGTGGAGAAAGGAACCAAAAAGATGAAACGAGGAGAGCATGAAAATCCATATGATGCCTTTCCAAGAGCATGGAAACACTACTGGCAGCACACTGTTTTACCCAAAGCTGCGGATGCTGAAAAAAAAATTGAAGCACGGATGGAAATACCTACTTTGTGGGAGTGCTTGGAAGTATTCCAGTTGCAAAAAGAATTGGCTCAAGAGAAATACTTGATTCCATTGGACAAGGATTGCACGAACAAACTGGGTTGCGATGCGAGTGCAAAGTTGCAGAACCGTTTGACTGTCCAAGAGTATGTTTGCTACTTGACAAAAAGAGTGGTCAAGAACTTAGATGCTTACGGACGTGCTAAGGCAGCACCCAAAACCAAGTCGTATGCTTTGGACGCAGATGCAAAAGAAGATCCAGGATTAGTGCGTGAAGGCCACGGGACTGGAGATACTGGCGAATCCTTTGAACCAGCTTTCGAAGATGCTTTGGATCCAGACATCGATGGGGAGGTTCGACTGAAGGCTGGAGATGCACCTTTAAAAGTACATCATCCACTGACTTCATCGCAGCGTTCGCAAGCCATGACCTTTCATCGTCAAAAGCAAACCAAGTTTGTGCGCGACATGATTTCTGTGGGCCTTTTGCCCTTGACAGGGGATGAAGAAGCGTTGCATAGAACTGCGGCCTACAAGCGCGCGAGTGGCACTGCAGTGAATCCACGAGCAGAACAACTGAGGTTGAAAGAGAAAGTGCCCATGATCACGCAGCCGCTACTGGATGCTCAGCGCGCCGCCATGACAAATGATAGCATGGGCCTCAGCCGCTTGTCGGCGGACCGGGCTGCTACGAGCGACTGCGCAGAGCGCGCAGGAGAGTTGGCTGCAAACAGTGATGTCGCGATGCCAGAAGCAGAATGGCGCACCTTTAGCAAGCCATCTGCAGCGATGGCGCGGAAGGTTGCTGCGTTTGAAAAGTCTGCCGCTGGATTCAAGCTGGCGCCGGAGCAATTGTCTGCTTGCAGATGGTTTGGTGAGGCAATGGATGTCGCTTTACAGGAAGAAGAGAACAAAATACCTTTGTGAAAACGTGCGCAGCACGCATGCCTTTTGATTGGCGCCGGTGGCACTGGCAAGACGACAATCATTTTGGAGCTCATGCTGGATGTTTTTTGTCACTTTTTCCAGCCAGGCCCGGAGAAGAAGAGCGATACATGATTGCCACCTTCAGCCATGCCCAATCGGATGCCATTTCCAATGATGTCTATCGCGCGCGAACATGTCATACTGCTTGCTCGTATCGTGTAGCCAGTTTGCGCAACAAGCATTTGGCCTTGAAGACAAAAGAGCAAGAGATGAAACAACGCTGGCAGCCGAAAATTTTAATCATTCAAGATGAAATCAGTTTGGTGCCAGCTGCAGTGGAAAACATGATGCTTTACCGCAGCATGCGCGCCCGTCAAGATGAAGGCCTTGATCCAGCCAGCTATTTCCACCCAGGAGAGCTCATGGGACACATACCAATTTTGCTGATTGCAGGTGATTTTTTGCAGATCAAGCCTGCCAACGAGATCTCCTTAGCTGACAATCTCGAAGAGCTGATCCGCAAAATGCCGCACAGAGTGCAGACAGAACACCATGCTGCCCAGGCGGCATTGATGACCATTGATACAGTGATTCATTTGAAGAAGTCGAAGCGGTTTCTGGATGCTCACCTGCCAGAAATCACAACAGCCATGCGCACGTGCACGCCTGCTGCTCCCTTGTCCGAGAATCACTTGGCTCAGCTGCGCACTCGCAAAATCGAAAATTGCAAGAAAGAACTAACCACAGACTTGTTCAAGCATGGTCACGTCATTGGCATGTATTGGGAGAACATTGCTCGCAGCATGGTGGAACGGGCAAATCGAGATGCGCAAGACCTGGATGTGCCGTTATTTTGTTTGCAAGCTGCTGACCAAAGGCATTCCAGAAAAAATAAAACCATAGACAAGCAGCTCACGCATCAGCTGCTCACTGTTCCAAACCCGCATCGCACTGGCAAATTGCAAGGCATGCTACTGGTGCACGAGAACATGGTTGTGCCACTGGCGGATGTCTTGGCTCCACACCTTGGATTGGTTAAAGACAAACTGGCAGTGGTAGTGAAAGTGGATTTGCACCATGAAGATCAGAAGCGCCTGGACCGTCGTGAACCTGGATTCTGTCATTTTTTTCCGGACTACATGGCCAAAGGTATCTGGGTGAAATTACTTAAAGGAAAGAATTCGCCCATGGAAGATGCTCTGTTGCAGACGTGGGAAGAAAAGTTTCAGAATGTGGCCGATCACACAACTGACGCAAAGACATTGTTCTTTGTGGAATTGGTGCATGCAGAGTTCAAAATTGATTTGAAACTAGGCGAGGAAACGGAGAAAATTGAAGTGATTCGCTGGCAGTTCCCGCTTTTGCATGGCATGCTGCGCACTGCTTACAGCGCGCAAGGCTTGACTTTGGACGGAGGTGTGCTGGTTGATTTGCGTCGTGGTGATGGCCTAGAGGATGCGGACTGGTGGCTAGCCATCTATGTCATGCTGACGCGTGCCCGCAAACTGAAGAATCTCATCTTGCTGGGGTTCACGGAGCAAGTGGAGGAGCTTTTACGCAAAGGCCCTCCTACCTACTTGCGAGAACTGACTGACAAGTTGGAAGCCAAAGCTGCTTCGACGCTGGAGCGGCTGCAGTCCTGGCCTGTCTATGATGCATTGCAAGCATCCTGACACAGTGCTCTGCCAGTGGGACCTAATCGGTTTTGATTGAAGAGGTCTGGTGGAGAAATAGAGAGTTGCAGCTGCAGCGATCTGATGAAGTAACGCTGGCATGGTTTTGTCGAGTTTACACGTGAGCTTGCGAGCCTTTGACTTTGGTTCAGGGGTCCACTGGCTTGGTTCAGTCATGTTTGTGCAAACATGTTTGACAGGCGGCGTGCTGACATGTTTGGGCATGTTTGTTTGTTTGGCTCAGGTGGTCCACTGCCCTGTTTGGTCATGTTTAAACAAACCTGTTGAGAGCTCTGGAGTTTACTTCACATGGTCCACTGACATGTTTATATCCTGTTTGACAGTCAAATAATTGGGATAGTTAGTTGGGCAAAGATATGTCAGAATGACCTGCACAATGACCTGCCAGGTGAAACAAATGATTGGGATAGTTAGTTGGGCAAAAGTCCCGTGACAAAAGCTTCAGACAAAAGTGTTGTCAACAAGCTGTTTTGAAATGTCATGGTGGGGATCACTCGAAGTAAAGTAATTTTCCATATATGGGATAATCCCAACCCCATTGACGAACTCATATTTTTCAGAGGGGTTAAAACCACCAGCCATGGGAAATGGCCCATTTATAGATGGTTTACCTATTGCAAATGGTGATTTTCCATATGTCAAATAACCAGATAGTACAATATCTACCCTCTGGTAATTTAACATAGCTATTGAACATGACCATAGAAATAGTGGATATTCCCATCAAACATGGTGATTGTCCACAGTTATGCAAACGTTTACCAGAGGGTAAATCACCATTAATCACCATTAATTATCATTATCAACCACTATTAATCACTATTAATCACTATTACCAGAGGGTAAACCTCCATTTTCCTGTGGCGTTTCTATGGTTGCCCCACCAACAGTGCAATCTCTCTGAGGTGCCGACTATTCGCACCTCTTGTGCTTCATCAAGCCGCGGCGCCACGGCCACGGGCGCCAGTGCGATGGGCGCTCGGCCGGCTCGGCCTTTGACGCCAGGTGCAGCGTGCCGGATTTGCTTCCGCGAGGTGTGGATGGATTTGATGTGATTTTAGAGCGATTTCATATGATTTAATGGGTGTTTCATGGTATTTCGTGGGATTTATTGGGTTTTAATGGGGCTTTGATAGAATTTCATATGATTTACTGGTATTTCGTGGAATTTATATGAATTTATTGGGTTTTCATGGGGATTTATTGTAATATGATTTCATATGATTGAATGTGAATTGGGATATTTACCAACTATAATCAACTAATGTGATTTGGGTGTGCTGAAAATGTGGTTATACATTATACCTCCCACAATTGCCATTGGGGAGAATGATGATTAACCAACCAGTGGATATAGATGGATATAGGGATGCCCTATTTTCAGGCAGTAAGAATTGCTACATGTCTGAGTCAAACTTGCAGGTCCAGTTAGCCACATAAGTGCGGTGATGTGTAGTGTTTGGTCATGATTTAGCAGTCAAGCGTTTCAATTTTTACCCAATGACCGACATCGAGCAAAAAAGACGCTCGGATTGATAGACATGGATTCTTGATTCGAACATAGATTATACATAGATTATAGTTGCTGGTTTTATATTGGTAGACTCAATCTAAACTTTGAAGATGGTGCGATTGACGAAGGGCCCACCACCCAATTGGTGCTCCGGGGCAGGTCGCAAAGTCTACGCCCAAGGTATGGGAACTGAGGCCCTTTCTCGGATACTTCGCTGGGTCGTGGCGCAAACAGATGTCCAGGTGGCCAAGTTATGAAAACGTGCAGTGTAACACGATGTGTATACCCATATGTTCCATGGTGCTGGAATATGAATCCATATATGACCCAGTTTTGTAGGTAAATATATGTAAATATTCCAGCACCATGGATCCATCATGGGATAGCATGATCACAACAAAATGATGTGTTCTATCCTTTTGGGGGTTGCGACAAATGGCTATATGATGTATATATATATATAATTTGGAGTGGTCAATATCGTGATTTAATCCTATTAAAATCCCATGAAATCTATATTTTATGGTGATCATAACTATACACACACACATATATATATATATTTGTGATGATATTTCAAGCTGCCGAAATCGAAAACAAGCCGGCTTGTCGAGCATGTCTGGCCAAGAATTCACTTGACCTGAAGGACTTGAAATGTGATTTTTGGCTCCATCTAGCCATATGGGGGGTTCCATACATGGGGGTACCCCAATAGCTGGATGGTTTATAATGGAAAATCCCATCAAAATGAATGATTTGGGGGTACCCCTATTTCAGGAAACCTCCATATCTAGCTTCTACCTTCTGATAATCTCACTTAGGCAACGGAACATCCCCCATCTACATTCTGTTTATGACTGATATTCCCATGAAACAGCTATGGTATCGGTATGAATGAGTCAGAGTCACTGAGTTGTTTGTCAGCTAGCCATGTTTTATTCCGTACGAGGAGGTGCCTCATAGCTAAGTTGGTTTATAAATTGCAACTGCTTTGACCAGGATGTATGTTAGGTATATATAACTATGTAAAGTTGATCTAGTTTTGTCATGGAGTTTATAGGCCAACATCTAACAAACATAACTGAGGGGCAACACATTGATTTACACCATGGTGACTGACGTGACGTGCAAGGTGGTGATTGATCCCTTTTGCGGTCGCGGCACGGTACTGGCACTCGCGAACGAACTGGGCGTTGCAGCGCTGGGGGTTGACGTGGATGCAGCATGTGTCAAGGCGGCCGAAAGGCTTGACATACTCAAACTGAGGGCAGCAGAAACTCAGGTGAAATATGGCGAAACTGAATCCTGTCAAACTTGCTATAGAATATCTAAGCGGATAGTACATAATGGCAATTTCATGTTGAAATTCAAATTGTCAATGGATTTCTGTGATGTCAGACTTCTGTGATGTCAAACTTGTAGATGCAAATGTGGACATGCGTATGGGTAAAAACAGCACCGGGATCAAATGATGCCTGACACCTCTGAGGATTTGGGATGCCAAAACAGGAGGACATTCCATCACGTGTATTCATTTGTTTCAATCTATGTCAAAGTTACCCACTGAACATACAAAACGCTCGGATTTACCCATTCAAAATGGTGATTTTCCGTTATGTAAACGTTTACCAGAGGGTACTTGAACCAGGACAGGTTTACCCCAAATCACTCTGGATCCGATCCCAGGATAGCATGCACCCGGTGGCCTACTATTTGCAACGGGCTGCGGATGGGCGGGGAAAGAAATCCAAGTCCGAGATGTGTCAGATGAAAGACACAACTTCGACAGAACTTCAGATCAAAAAAACAGGTCAATTTCTGAACAGTCTTGAGGCTTCTGAGGGATTCTGAGGGATTCTGAGGCTGTTTGAGGCTCCCTAGAAACTGCCAACAGGCCATGCAACAGCAGGATTCATCAAGCTATGGTGCCTGGCTGACAGATCTGGTGTCAACGTTTTGGCCAGTTTGGTCAAGGGGCGAGAGAAGAGCTTCGATGAGGAGAATGGATTCTGTGTTGCCATGTTGGGTGGGGAAATGATGAACCACCGTGAAGACGACATAGGCCACTGTATAAACTATAAATCTATAAACCACCAAATGATAATCCACTACAAAGACCCTTTCTATCTATATATATATATATAATTATATACATATGTATACTATATATATATATGTGTGTATACAATATGTGTATATATATATATTGTATATATATATATATGTAAAGCACTATGTAAATCACAATACCAGGAATGTTGGGTTTCCAAACTTTTGAGACAAAGCCGTGTGGACTGGACGTGTCTCCGACAGCGTGAGCAGTGGCAGTGATCGGAGACGGTGGGGTTGCAACGAGACCATGACATGCGATGCCGAGAGCAGAAACAGCGGGAAAAAGTCAGGGGTAAACACCGGTAAGAAGCATGGAATTGACCTGATTTATATATATATATATACTATAATATAAATACATATATATATATACTATGATATACTACAATATACTATAATATATATATATATATACTATAATATTCTATACTATAATATATTTTAAGATACTTTAATATACTATAATATACTATAATATACTATAATATATATATATACATTTGATTTCCACCGATTTCTCAAGTTTTCAATCTGGCTAGATCTCTGGAGGAGTGATATTTTTGAATAATGCAATGTTCGTATTAACGATCCCCCCAGAAGGTCTAGATCCATGAGAAGGTATTCACCCCCAAATAATCGGCAGCAAAACCAAAGATGGGATTCATGAGATTTGGAATTGGATTCATGATATTTAGTATGAGAAATGCTTTGAATCCATTGGTTTTCCACTGGGTTTCCATTGGTTTCAATTGGTTTTTGAATCCACACATTAGGATACAGTATTCCAGAAGGGTGTTTTTAAACAGGAGGTGACCACCCATGTTGATTAATATGGAGGGACCAGCCCAAAGTAGTACTGCCAACAATTTGTTGGACTGTGGGTGTTCATTCATTCCGGGGTGATTATTGCAATGATTTGCTGGTTGGTGGTTTGCAATATTTTTTATTTTTCCATATATTGGGAATAATAATCCCAACTGACTAATAGTTTTCAGAGGGGTTGAAACCACCAACCAGTTTACAGATGTTAACAGTTTTAGCGACTTGAACTGCTTCGGGTATCGCTTATGGCTGGACCAATTTGGACCCCTGGCAGTGAGCACACCACGTCCAAGCTGACACCGTTGTTTGGGGTTCAGCAGTATACCGTTGTTTTATATATAATATAATATAATATAATAATATTATATTATATTATATTCTTTTGTATTGTATTGTATTATATTATTTTATTTAATATCATATTAATTATATTTTATTATATTGTATTGTATTTTATTTTATTGTATTATATTATGTTATATTTTTTTGTATTGTATTATATTATTTTATACTATACTATATTATATTTTATTTTATTATATTTTATTATATATATATATATATATTATATATATATATTCACCCCATGAATCGCAATTGGGTTATAATTCCAGAAAAAAGTAGGGTAAGTCGGAATGTCCAGTTGCAACTGGGGTTATAACCCATGGGGTGAACCACACGACTTGGTGTCTTCAGATCTGGGCGCAGCGTCCTGAGAAACATCAACGATCGTGGTGCATACCTTGAAATCCGCAAAGCCAGAATATCATCACTTGGTTTTGACCACTTATGAAGCTACATAGATATCTTTAGATAACATTCCCCATGTCAACCCAGGATACATAAACTCCTCGTTGGCTTCAATGTCATTTGGGGGGGTCAGTTTGATCCTACTCACGTTTGGGGGGCTAACCATCCCTAATTAATCATGCCATACCATCGCAATTGTCATTGTCATTGCAACATTGCCATACGTATACATATACAATCATGTATATATATATATATTTTTTTTTATATATGTCATATAGAACTATGTATGTAGACACTCATATTTACCAGTGCTCAAACATGGCAATGGACAATCATCATGTTTAATACTGGTTGGTGGTTTGGAACATTTTTTATTTTCCCCAATAGTTGGGATGATGATCCAATCTGACTAATATTTTTCAGAGGGGTAGGTCAACCACAAATTAGAATACCTTCATCCATAGATCGGCCATTTTCTTTTCAGCTCCGTGGCGCAGGTGACGCCTTTCATCGGCTGAGGAGAGCTGGTTTTTTTGGCTTAGTGGGACCATTTGGCCATTAAAACTTGGATTTTTCCCGAATGCGTAGCAAGGGTTCCCGTTTCACTCTGGGGGTCTGGGGGTTGAGGGTGTGTTCGCTCGACGTTGCTTCCGCGTCCGCAACCGTTCGCAACCGTCCGCAACCGTCCGCAACCGTCCGCGTGAGGACCGTATGGCCGTGCCTATGGGAAGTTTTGCAGAGGTGGTCCTTTTTGGCGGTTTCAGACAAGTCGTTGCTTCGTTTTGCGTGGCAGGCGTGGCACTTCGTGACATTCAGACGTGTTCTGGAACGTGTCGAAAGTCGTTTTGCGTGGCAGGCGCAATACTTTTGTGACGTTGTCAGAAGATGTGTTGCAGTTTTCGTGGCAGGCGCAGCACTTTGGACGTGTCCATCGTCATTTTTCGTGGCAGGCGCAGCACTTTAGACGTGTCGTGTTGCGTGTTTTTTGCAAATCGCATTGGCAGGGCTGCGTCAAGTGGCGACAAGGCGCAAATTCCGTGGCAGGCGTGGCATTTTGTGACATGTGCTGAAAATTGACGGAAGCCTCGCACGAAACATCGATTTTGAGGTTGCAAATTTTCAGCTTCTAAGGAAAACTCGTAGGAAAACGTCGATTTTGAAGCTGCAAAGTGTCAAAATTGGAGGAAGTCTCGCACGAAATGCTCGTTTTGGTGCTCCCACGTGTCTCGTCTCGAGTCTCTGGTTTTCCCGTGGCTTCGCCGTGTCTATGGGGGAAGCTGCAAAACCTGTCCTTTTGTTATGTTGCCAACTGTGAAAATCGCCGGAGGTCTCGTACGAAATGATTGTTTTGGTGCTCCCACGTGTCTCGTCTCGAGTCTTTGGTTTTCTTGTGGCTTCGCCGTGTCTATGGGGGAAGCCGCAAAACCTCTCCTTTTCGAAGGTTTCCAAGGAAGTTGTCATGTCGTTTTGCGTGGCAGGCGTGGCACTTTCTGACATTCCAACCTGTTTGAAATTGGAGGAAGTTTCGTACGAAATGCTGTTTTTTCTGCATCCACGTGTCTTGTCTCGACTCGAGTCACTGGTTTTCCTGTGGCGTCGCCGTGTCTATGGGGGAAGCTGGAAAACATCTCCTATTCGAATGTGTCCAAGCAGGTTGTCATGTCGTGTTGCGTGGCTGGCGTGGCACTTTGTGACATTCCAAACTTGTTTGATAACGTGTCGAAAATATCAAAATTGGAGGAGGTCTCGCACGAAATGCTCGTTTTTTTGCTCCCACGTGTCTCGTCTCGAGTCTCTGGTTTTCCTGTGGCGTCGCCGTGTCTATGGGGGAAGCTCCGCGCTCCACACTCTACACTTTACACTCCACAATTTACACTTTAGACTCCACACTCCACTTTACATTTTACACTCCTCACTCCACACTCCTCACTCCACACTCTATACTCCACACTCCCCACTTACACTCCACACTCCACACTCTACCCTTTCCACTCCACACTCCGCACTCCACACTCCACACTTTACGCTCCTCACTCCACACTTTACACCACACTTTACACTCCTCACTCCACACTTTACACTCCTCACTTTACACACAACACTCCACACTCTACACACCACACTCTACACTTTCCACTCCAGACTCCACACTCTACACTTTACGCTCCAGACTCCACACTCCACACTTTACACTCCACACTTTACACTTTACACTCCACACTCTACACTTTACACTCTACACTTTACACTCTACACTTTACACTCTACACTCCACACTCTACACTTTCCACTCCAGACACCACACTCTACACACCACACTCTACACTTTCCACTCCACATTTCACACTCCACACTACACTTTACACTCCACACTCCACACTTTACACTTTACACTCCTCACTCCACACTCTACACTCCACACTCCCCACTTTACACTCCTCACTTTAGACACCACACTCTACACTTTCCACTCCAGACTCACTCCACACTTTACACTCCTCACTTTACACTCCACACTCCACACTCCACACTTTACACTCCTCACTCCACACTCTACACTCCACACTCCACACTCTACACTCCACACTCTACACTCCACACTCCACACTTTACACTCCTCACTCCACACTTCACACCACACTTTACACTCCACACTCCACACTCTACACTCCACACTTTACACTCCACACTCTACACTTTACACTCTACACTATACACTCTACACTCCACACTTTACACTTTACACTCCACGCTTTCCACTTTACACTCCTCACTCCACACTTTACACTCCACACTTTACACTCCACACTCCACACTCTACACTTTACACTCCACACTCTACAGTCCACACTTTAAACTCCACACTCCACACGCCACACTCTACACTTTCCACTCCACACTCCAAACGCTACACTCCACACTCTCCACTTTACACTCTACACTTTACACTCTACACTTCACACTCTACAATTTACAAACTCCACACTCCTCACTCCACACTTTACACTCCTCACTTTACACTCCACACTCCTCACTCCACACTTTACACTCCACACTTTACACTCCACACTCTACACTTTACACTCCACACTCCACACTTTACACTCCACACTCCACACTCTACACTTTACACTCCATACTCCACACTCTACACTTTACACTCCGCATTCTACACTTTACACTCCGCATTCTACACTTTACACACTCTACACTCCCCACTCCACACTTTACACTCCACACTCCTTACTTCACACTCCACACTCCACACTCTACACTTTCCACTCCACACTGCAGACTGGTAACAAGGGAAACATGTACAAGACTATTCAAATAAACTATTGCAGAAAGGTATTGTGCGTGACTGCATAACCATGTGTTTTGACATCTGTACCATTAACATACGTGTGAGCATTCGGGTTCGTGGG